GGAGGACATTATGCTGAGTGAAATAAGTCAATCACAGAAGGACAAATATTGTATTAGTCCATTATTGTAAAAGTCAAGGAACAGTTTATATGCAGAAGGAAAGTTTCTTTGTTGGTTACCAGGGGTGGGAGGGAAGGGGAAGGAACACTGTTAGATAGGTAGAGATAAGTATTGACTTGGGTGAAGAGAATGGCAATGCACCAAATGTGAGCTATCAACATGGTGGTAACTGAGAAAGAGGAAGACAGAGAGAGATACATGGGAGGTGCAGATAACAAAGATGAACCCTTTTGCACACACAGTACTGAGTTGTCAGTGAAGGCAAACACAGGTATTCGGGTGGATAGATGGGTGGACAGGCTGAAATATGTCTATGCAGCAGGGAGTGTACCCAAGGCCATGTATAGGGTTGGCAGACATGGTTCTACAAGTATATTTGTATGTTCTGTAAGAATTCCCAGGTGTATAGTAGAGCTGACAAGGGACAAGATTGCAGTCACTTCTTGGTCACAGCCAGCTACCCAGAGGGACCAGGTCGTTGAACCTGTGGGCTCGGGACCATAGTCACAGGGGACGTCAAGCTCAACTGGCATAACATACTACACAAAACATTGTTCCACCTCCTACTTTGGTAAGTAGCGACTGGGATCTTAAAAGCTTGCAAGAAGCCACCTAGATGCAACAATGAGTCTCTTCTCAACCAGAGCAAAGAAGAATGAAGAAAACCAAAGATTCATGGAAACATTTAGTCCTTGCAACTGGTACACCATGCAATTCTCAGCCTATACGTCTATGAGACCAGAAGAACTAGATGGTGCCCGGCTACCACCGTCAATCACTCAGAGGGGTATCTATGTAGGAGATCCTGGATAGAGAGGGAGAACAATGTAGAACAAAACTCAAGTATCATTTGGAAATTTTTTTTTAAAAAAACGGTGGGACCAGGTTTGCTGGTCTGATAGAGCCTGGCGGAACCACTGAGACTATGGTCTCTAGCTGCCCTTCAGGTATGGAATTGAACCCACACCTGTGGCTTCCAGCCAAACAAAAGAAAGGCATATGAGCTGAACATGTACCTGAAGTAGATACACTCCTTGGAGAGAACAATCATGGGAGAAAGAAGGGCTATTTATTCACAGGGAGACAGTTCAGGGGGCAGGAGTGCATGGAGGGAGGCGCACAGAGAAGAAATAACTATGAGGAGGAAGTAGGAGCTGAGCTGTTGCATTGTGGTAAATTGTAGTCAATGTCATGAGACAACATTTGTGAACTGCTGCATGGAAAGTGAATTTGCTCTGTAAACTTTCACCCAAATCACAATTTAAAAAAAGATGGCGAAGATGCTAACTTGAGCAGTATTTTACTCCAGAGCCTTTGTATTTGGTCTGTGAGCTGGCTTCATTCTCATTAATATCTCCTGGCCATCATGAGCCCTGCCAACTCTTATGATTCAAGGCATTTGCTTAACTCATGGAAAGGCTCTGCGTCGTTTCGGGAATGGGCTCTTTCCCCTCTGGGTCCCAGTTTCCCCATCTGTAAAATGGGGGCGGCACCAAGAGCACGCCTAGACCTCGTCCATCTCTGATGATACTGATGGGACGCGATGTAGAAGAGGGTGTCATGTTTGGTACTCCTCTAGGTCCTTACCATTTGATGATGTTGTGAACCAAAGGTAAAAAGGAGTAATTGTCTTCTTTTACACCCGCAGGTGACTGCGGCGTTGGCGCCAGTGACTGCTGAGGCTGAGGTGCAGCGACCGGCGTGGGCGGCTGAGAAGGCGGCAGCGGCTTCGTCTCTGGCAGCGGTGGCTCGGCAGGCGGCGGTAACGCATCCTCCGTCTGACGCCCTGCAGCTACACCAACAGACGCCATGGCAGTCAGTCTATCAGCAAGACCAGATGGCTTCAACCTACCGGAAGCGTCGCGGATTCTGTACATCATCACTGCACGCCTGCTGGAAGGTTCTGAGCTTGCGCACTGGCGTATAGCTGAGGGGCGGGGTAAAGGGGCTAGGGGTGGCGCGGGGGAGGAGCGGGGGCGACTGTTGCTAGGCAACAGACAGTTGGCGCGTCTAGGGTGGCCTGAATTTGATCTTTAGTATTAAATAGTCAGACATAGGAAATTTACTTCAAAAAATAGTCCAGTGTTCTTATTCTTATTCATCTGACGAAGAGACTCCAAATGCAAGGAACATTGGAAACTGAGATGAGGGCCAATACCTCCACCCACTGCCATTGAGTCCATCCTAACTCATGTTGTTGTTGTTATGTGCCCTCAAGTCAGACAGATTCATAGCGACCCTTCCATGGGTTCCCGAGGCAGTATCACTATGGAAGTAGATTGCCCCATCTTCCTTTGGAGGTGTGGGTGGTGGGTTTGAACCGCCAGCCTTCTGGTTAGCAGTCAAGAGTCTTAGGCCCTATGCTACCAGAGCTCCTTATCCTAACTCATGTTGTTGTTGTTTGCCTGGAGTCGCAGGGACTCATAGCGACCCCTCCTTGGATTTCTGAGGCAGTATCACTACAGAAGTAGGATTGCCCAACCTTCCTTTGGAGGAGTGGCTGGTGGGTTTGAACCGCCAGCCTTCTGGTGAGCAGTCAAGTGCCTTAGACACTATGCTACCAGAGCTCCTAAACTCATAGTGACTCCAATTGGGTTTCCCAGGCAGTAATTCTTTATGGAAGAAGAGTGGCTTCCGTAGAGTGGCTGGTGGGTTTGAACTGCCAACCTTCTGGTTAGCAGTCAAATGTCTTAGGCACTGACTGTGCTACTGATCCAAAGGCAGAGAACCTTGGAAACCATGAGATGAGGCTCAGCCCTCTGGAACAGTCTCCTGAAGAACAAATTGAACTATGGGAAAAGTAGGCAACATTTATTAAGCACCAATTATGCCTAAAAGGAGCTCTGGTTGGGTGGTGCCTAAAGTGTTTGTCTGCTAAGGAAGGTTGGCAGTATAAACCTACCAGATGCTCTGTGGAAGGAAGATGGGGCAATCTATTTCCATAAGGATTTACTGCCTCGGAAACCCAATTTAGGTTGCTGTGAGTCGGAATCGACTCCATGGCAGTGTGTTTGGTTTTATTATGTCTAAGGCACTGGGCTGTACTGGCGTTGAGAATGAAGTAATGAAGGACTTACACTTCCTACACAGACAAAAGGGGAGAAGAGGTTTACTTTGATTGTGGAAGATGCTGTGCGCTAAACCCTAAGGTCACAGAAAGAACTAGATTATGGTCCTCCAAAGTTCTACGTGCCTGGGTAGAAAGATACTACATAATTAAACTCAACACACGTTTAGTATGTACCTGATGTATAACAGATGCTTTGCTAAATGTGTGTAGGGAGGTGGGTGAAGGCTATGCTAACTTAAATAAAAGGCAGAAGGAGATTTTTGTTGTTGTGTACCGTGGATTGGATTCTGACTTATAGCAACCCATGTGACAGTAGAAATGTCCCATAGGGTTTTCTAGGCAGTAATCTTTATGGAGCTCTGGTGGTGCAGTACCTCAGGTATTTGACTGCTAACCAGAAAGATGGTGGTTGAAAACCACCAGCTGCTCTGTGCAAGGAAAATGAGGCAATCTATTTCCAATAAAGATTTACTGCCTTGGAAACCAACTGGGGGTTTCTATGAGTCAGAAACTGACTCCATGGCAGTGGATTTGGGTTTTTTGGTTTTAATTTTATGGAAGCAGATCACCAAGTCTTTCTCCTGCAGATCCTCTGGGTGGGTTCCTACTACCAACTTTTCATTTAGCAGTTGAGCACTTACCTGTTGTGCCACCATGGCTCCTTCAGAAGGTGATTAACTCCACCTCACCTCCTAACAAAACAAAACAAACCTACACCTGCTGCTGAGAAGTAGATTCCAATTCATGACAACCCCATCCGTTATAAAATAGAACTGCTCCACGGGGTTTCTTGGCTATAATTGTCACAGAACCAGGCCTTGCTTCTTCAGGGGCTGCTGGGTGGGTTCAAACTGCCAACCTTTAGGTTAGTAGTTGGGCACAAATCTGTTTGTGCCGTACAGGGATGTAGAAGGGGATCCATGCCAGGAATAATGTATTGTAGAGGAAAGAAGATCAAGTACTTTCCATATTTTTGGGCCTGTTCCTTAAGCCCTATGTTCCAGTTTCCTCACCTCCAAAGCCTAGACTTCAGATATATGGCTAAGGCCAAAAGGTAGGTCTCGTTTGCATGACAATCCCCTGAATCCTAGGCCAATGAAGGGTACTTGTGGTGGTTTGTGGTTATGTTCCTCAAACAGGTATGACCAGGGAACAATAAATATCTGGGCAAGGGGCGTGCCCATCTTAGGGTTAGCAGTCAGTGGAAGAAGAAAGATAGGGGTTATGAAAGCTTTAAGTTGACATAGCCCATCCTTCCTCAGTCTACCATCATAAGCAATCAAGAGAGGCAAGGAAGTCCATCTTCAGGCAGCAAGATGAGTAGTAGCAGTTAAGGATAAGGTGACCTTTCCCAAAGAAAGCACTGAAGCTCATATTTCCTGATGCATAGGAAGCTGGTGAGTAGAGGCAGATCCTTGGGCAGCAAGATTGCAGAATGGGAAATAGATGCTGGAGGGGGTGCTAGAGAGGAAGGTGAGGGAGAGAGGCCTGCAGGACTTTCTTCCTTCTAACCATGGACCTCTCCACCTAAGGGAACAGTTCAAGAGTCCTGGTGGAAAATGGAGGAGAAAGGCCTATTGGGATAAGACCAGAGGTGCTTGAAGAGAGTACACCTTTGAAGGCATCTGGGGGAAATAAGGGAGCTCTGGTGGCATAGTGCCTAAGGCATTTGGCTGCTAACCAGAAGGCTCACGGTTCAAACCCACCAGGCACTTCTCAGAAGGAAGGTTGGGCAATCTACTTCCGTAGTGATACCACCTTGGAAACCCAAGGAGGGGTTGCTATGAGTCAGATCCGACTCGACAGCAGTGAGTTTGGTTTGGTTTTTTTGGGGGGGGGAAATAATGATGGGATAATTAATAATAATAATAACCACAGTAGCCATGGAATAAAAGTAGGTACAAGAAAAAATTACAATCATTATCTCATTTAATCCACAAAAGAGTTCTAGAATGTAAACATTAGTATTCTCATTTTACAGATGAGGAAACTGAGGTTACAGTGGTTAAGATTCTGGCCCCAGTGTCACACACACAGCTTGTGTGATACCGAGCTACAGATCCCTTCCGATTCTGAAAATCTCTGATTCAAAATATTAAAGTTAGGTTCTAATTCAGAATTCAAAGAGCAATCTGATATTCAGTAATATCCCCATGATGGTTGTGTGTCATCTTTCTACTCCTGGTGTGTTTTATAACTTCATTATGAGCCCCAACTTTGTCATTGGAAGAATCATAAAGATGTCTCTTTTTTTTAAACGTTTCAGGTATAAATAGATATGGCTAAAGAAAACAAATTGAAAATGTATTAAGTGTGAACAAGCATGGCACATTGACAATTTGCCCTAAAAATAGTTAATATAATTAGTGGCAAAGAGTAAAGATGACTTCATAACTGCAAGCGGATGTCTGATAAATACTGCCTGTGCTAGTTTCATTAAAGCTTCAATTGCCACAACAAATGTGTCTGTTTATAACCAACCCGTAAGAGTCAAAAAAGACAGATGCTTCATTGATGCGTACGTAACTAGTATGTATTGTTATAAACTCCACAGAGTTAAGCTGGATGGGAATTGCTTTCTGAAGCACCTTCTCAAAGGGTCTTGTCCTTTCAAGTAAGGGATATGAGTTCAGGCTTCGGAGCCAATCTGTAGCTTTCCATCCCTGTTCCACTTCTGAAGTTGGTGACTTTGGACAATTAGGTGTTTAACGTGACTTAGCGCAGCCATGCAACCTCATGAAAGGATTGACTGAGTTATTCCACGTAAAGCATGTAGAGAAATATCTTCACACAGCAAACATTAATTCTTCCTATTATTCCTCATCAATTAAAAAAACTTCAACTGTGGCAATTAAGAAGAATGATCTAAAATGATCTAGATCAGCTATCTCTAGTAGAAACATCATTTTCAATTTTCTCTTAGCCACATTTAAAAAAAATAAGAAATGGGTGAAGTAAGTATTACTAATATATTTTACTTAACTTATAACCAAAATATCATTTCAGCATGTAATCTATATTAAAAATTATAAACAAGGTATTTAACTGTCTACATATAAGTATTTTGTCTGATATAGTTCATTTTCCCATATGTTTTGTTGTGTAACTATCACTATACTACTACTACTACTACTAAACCTATAGAACGGTGGACAAATGATGTAAAGAAAGATGGCTTCAGGTAGAAGGAAAATGGTTCTAGGTAGAAATTTGAATATATACAGTGGAATGAAGAACACTGAAAATAGTCAATATGTGCATAAGTATATAATACATATATCTTTCTCTTTTTAAAATAATATTTTTATTGTGTTTTTGGTGAAAGTTTACACAGCAAATTAGGTTCCCCATTAATAATTTCCACACAAATTCATCAGTGGCATTTGTTATACTTTTCATATTGTGTCAACATTTTTATTAGTTGTGTTCTAACTGTTCCATTTCTAATACTCTAGTTTCCCACCCCCTTATCTTCTCTTTGATTTGAATTGAATGTTGACCTTTTAGACACATACAGATTTTTTTTTAAGTAGTAGGTAATATCTTTTATTTGTACGTCACTCTTTTTTTTCCTACTAAAAGGTGATCTTGATATAGATGTGGTTCAAGATTTAAAGAGTATCTCAGGATAATAGTCTCGGGGAGTCCTCTGGTCTCAGGTGGTGCAGTTAATCTGGCTTTTTTTTTTTTTAAAAAAAAAAAACTTTTTATTGTGCTTTGGGTGAAAGTTTACAGAACAAA